GCGCATCCGCTTGCCTCTCCATTCCGCCTGAATTACATGCCAAAGGAATTGTAGGTGAGTTTCCTCCTCGGATGTTGTTGGGGAAACACAGGCATGCAGCTTCTTAGGGATGGTTTTCGGAGAGAAGCGGAGTCGATTAATGCAAAAACAGGGAGGCTGGATCTCCTCCAACTATTTGCCAGATTTTAGATTGAGTCAAGGGCCAAAACGCTTCGTCACTGTTTCTGACCAGCAAGTCAGCGGGTCCGGGGCGGCGATAGAGTGCTACGCAAATGCTCAAAAGGATAGCTGAGGACCTGCGTTGCCGCGTGGGTGATCCCTTTTCCCTGTTCTTTTGTTTCCCTCAAGAATCAGTGCTGCCTTTGTTTTTGTTTCCCTGTTGTTTGCTGGGGCTGTGCTGACAAACCACTGAAATCTTGAACGCTGCTGACTCGAACCCCCGGATAGAGAAAATGTGTTTGAATCCCTGCGTCCAAGCGGAGCTCGGCTTATTCACAGTTTGGGGCTCCGCACAGAGACATTCAATGAATCACAAACCCCAATTCTGCAAACCCATGAAGACTTCCACAATCAGAATGCAGAGAACTAAATCGTAAATGCACAAGTAGAGAGATGGAGGACATTGATTCAGGTCACATAATAGCTCGGCTTGTATTGTTCATCGTCACTGCACATCGGATCATGTTCAATTTGTACGGCTTTTGTTTATGTGTAATCCCTTTCCTATCTTACACCTGTAATTTCCGTCGTTTAATGAAAAGTTGGTTCCAGTCCATCTCTTAATTTGTGTATGTAAATAATGTCTCAGCCAGTTCAGTTGTATAGCATATTGGACTTCCAGAGACTACACAGCACACGGTTACAAGTTGAGTGCAATAATATTCATCGTTTTTTTTGCAGTTTTGGTATCAATTCGGCGTATGCCTGATAGCGCGGATTAAGCGAGTAAAACCGATAATCTTAGAGCATACACAATAATATGTTATCCACTTAATTTGTTTTTTCTCGTTTGTGTGTTTGTGTAAGAACGAAATGTTTATCTCTTTGATTTTGTTGTGTTGGTATATTTTTGGTCATTTTTTTGGTCAATTATGTTTTGGATATTATATATATTTTATAGGTAAGTATTTTGGGGCAAATGATAAACAATAAAATAAATAGAGTTAAGATAATTCATAATGATTGAAAGGTAGATTGTTATACAATAATTTATTGGTAAATAGGAATATTTATTTAAATATAATATACATATTTGATGTTTGTAATGAAATATATATATATATATTTTATATGGTATTGATATTTGAATTTATGTAAGTTTAATTGATTGATAAAGTATATTATTCTTATTTTTGTTTTATAATTTTATTAGTTTAAATTATATATATATATATATTGGAAGAATTGTATTTATATTATGTTTATGTTTGTATTTATTATAATATAAATGGTATTATATATTAAAAATTAAATATATTTTATAAGATAAAATTATGAGATTTGTTTGTTGTATTTGTGTGTATTGTTTTTTAAATTGATTTGAGTTGTTTTTTGGAAGATGTAATTGTTATATTGTGTAGTTGTAATTTGGAAGATATAATGATTTTATATTTTTGAATTAGTATTATTTTATTATTTTCTCGGCATATTACGAATATTTTGGAAAAATGGTCCGGGTTTTGAATAAAGTTATTATATTTTCTAGATAAAGTGGTGGGATAGAAATTTTGTTTACATTTATTTTGTTGAAGTGAGAGTTTGATGATATGAGGAGTTGTGAGTTATGATTGATTATTGAGCGAATTAATTTGTTTTTGTTGTTTGTATTTAGGATATGTTTTAGGTAATTGTATTTTTGGGTTATATGTTAATAATGAGTGGATTTGTTTGAGGTTAATAATTTATAGATGAATTGTTATTTTGTTTAGATTATTATTTTATGTTTATTATGGTTAATTCGGTTTTTAGTTTGTTTTGCGAGTTGAATTTATTTGGAGAATGGTATATTTTTATATATAAATATTATTTATTTATTTTTATAATATAATAAATATATTAATGTTTGAATTGTTATTAGATTTGATATATTTATTATAATTTGAATTTTGATTTTTTAAATTTAAATTATTAATTTAAATTAATAATTGGAAAAAAATAATATTATATATTATATATGATGTTTTTATGATTTTATGAAAAAGGTAAAATTTATGTTTTATATTATTTAGAATATTTTAAATTATTTTAATATAAATTAAAGAATTTCTTATTTAGGTGTATATAATATTCGAGAATAAGGTTCGAAATATAAAAGCCCGGTTTTTGGAGTTAATATTTAAATAAATATTTATAATTATATATTTAAAAAAATTATTTTAATGTAATGAATATAATTATAAGGAATATAAAATACATAAAAATAATATATAATATATTATTAAATTAAATATTATATATTAAATATAATGGTTTATAAATTATATTTATAATTTTAATTATATATAATTTTTAAAATAATTTATATTGTTATATCCAAAAATATAAGTTGTTTAATAGATCGAGGCTTCTTTTATTTTCTTTTTTATATTTTGATAATTTAATAAGTTTAATAAATATTTTTTGAATTTGTTTATTATTATTTTTTGTAATAATATTCTTAAAAATTATATTTAAATTTCCAAATACCAATTATTTATAATTCTTCTTTTAATAAAGTTTTCTAATTTTTATAATTCAAAATCTATATTTATAAATAATTCGAATATATAACGAAAATCATTATTTTAATTTCAAAATAATATATATATATTAGTAAATTATATATAAATCCAAAATAAATAATTTAATTATTTTTTTTTTTATTATTATATAAATTCGATTAAATATATAAGTTTATAATAATTAATTTTAATAATCTCTTCGCTAAAATAATTAAATCTATTAATCTAAGAAATTTATTCATTATCAAATTTAGTATAAATCTGCCGAATCACACCCTTAATACTCAATTTTTTTGTGTTTTATTATTTTTATGTTTTTTTCCAATTAAACGAAATTATAATATTCAAGAATGTTATATTATCCTATTTCGTTTAATTATATATAAGTTAATATAAATATTATTCAAATTCCAAATAATATTTGTAATATAAGTCGAATTAAATTACTCCTATGTTTTTTTACTACAATCACAAAATCTATTCATTGCCTTAATTAATAAGCACTCTTGTTATGCTACTATCATCAAAAAGGTTTAGAATTAGTCCATCATCATATATACAAAAACCTATGCAATATTTCAAATGAAATCCATCATATATACCTAATATTGCGTCGTAATATTCAGTTTCAGCAGAAAATAAATTCACAACTCTCTGAGTACGGTTTGCTACAAATAGACAATAAGTGTCCAATATCACGACCATTCCACTCTTCGGTTGATCGGATCGTCTGACCAGTCCGAGTCTGTGTTTTTTTTATTTATTTTTTTAAATTCCTGAGGACGCATACCCTCTTGTAATGCACGCCAGTTCGCATCGATACCGATACGGTGTTCATATCGGCGTATAACCCATGTAGTCATGGGTGCACCACTCCCCCCCCCCCCCCATCCACACAGACCGGAAAACCAAGAGGGGAAAGTGCGGTTTCACTGCCGTCAAACACACGGTTGCGAAAGGCATGGTCACAAAGCAAAAATGGGATGCTGCAAGTGTTCAGTCCGGCTACGCGTGCGCCAGTGGTGCGAGATTGTCCTGTTTCTTCCTCCTCCCCCGAAGCGACCGGGTTTGCAGGTTGAGAGCACTGCTTTCTGCACCGTGGTTGCTGTCTCTTGGGACCTGAGCATTTCTGGTTTCTGGGAGAGACCGGAACCGTACTCAATTGGGAGTATTTTTTTAAGCGATCTGACACAGTTCGCCTCTGGGTATGGGAAAAACAGTCTTTGGATGAAGTGTGAAATTGTATGCACGCTGTCCACCCAAAGACGCCGGATTGTTTTTTCAGACAGCTTCAGGAGAAGCACATCTGGATTTTGTTCTGAGGTGTAATATGTCGGTTTTTTGCTATCTTTTGAAAGATTTGTTGGGACCTCCGATTGCATGACAATCCGGAAATTCACATAGAGTTCAAACCAAGTGATACCGAGGCAAGCTTTGTTTAGCGGACCCCATTTTAGTGTGCGTGCCCACGCAATTCGGCGTTTCATGTATGTAACCCCATAGAGACACAAGTCGAACAAGTGCGCCGGAAGGTCAGCAACAGGCCAATTGATCGGTTAGTTAAAGGTCCCGCGCACTGCTCCTA